GGGTTGGAGAGAGCGTGCCAGCCTAACCAGTGTGTGGCTGGGGCCCAGGGGAGTGGGAGAGTGCTGGAGGTGGCAGGGCGGGGCATGCCCAGTCAGCAGTAGCCTGTCTCTCCCAGGACAAACTTGCAGAGAGGAAAGCATTGCTGCTGCAGGCTGTGCAGAGGTGAGTGTTCGTGGGGTCTCCACCCCTGCCCCTTGGCCTCCATGCACCCAGCTCTCAGCCTGGGCTCACCCTGGGGAGCAAAACATCCAGGTGTCCACACAGTGAAGAGGGCAGGGTGGTTCCGGGCACAGGGAAGGGGGCAGGGAAGGATGCACAAAGCTGGTGGGGGTGATGGAATCACTGGGCCCTGAGGCCCCTAAGGGGGTGGGAAACCCTCCTCCTTGAAGATGAGGTGCCCGCCCCTCCCCAGCCAGTATGAAGAGAAGGACAAGGCCTTCAAGGAGCAGCTCTCCCACCTGGCCACTCTGCTGCCCACCCTGCAGGTAAGGGGAGCCCGCACCCCTGCACAGAGGGCCCCTCCTGGGCCAGGCACTGAGCAGTGTCCCTCCTGCAGGTTCACCTGGTCATCTGCTCCTCTTTCCTCAGCCTGGCCAACAAGGCTGAGTTCCTGGACCTGGGCTATGTGAGTCCCCCAGCTCCTGCGGGGTCCCCCCGTCCCCACAAGGAGCCCACCCTGCACACTCCATGCTGCTACCTCAGGGTTTGGCAGCCTGTCACCTGGAGCTGGACCAGGGGCCTCTGGGCTTACCTTCCCCTCCTCCACACTATCATCTACAAACCGGTTAGGGGACAGGACAGCTGAGCCCCTTTTAAAAGGACAGCAAAGCCTGGAGTATAAGCCTCTACTCTCCCAAAGTGCATTGTCTACTGGAGTCCAGCCACCCCAACCTTTCCTGTGTTTTTGGGGCAGGGTGGTGTGGGGGTTCCCAGCCAGTCCCAGGGAAAGATTAGAGCCTCCAATGGACACCAGGTAAAGTGCCAAAGACAGGCTTGTCCTTGGGGCCACCCCCTCAGCACCCCCACCACCCCTACACACACACACACACAGCCTGAGCACCTCCCCTCATCCCCTACCTCGCAGGAGCTGATGGAGAGGCTGCAGGGCATTGCCACGCGGCCGCATCGCCTCCGGCCTGTGCAGAGCAGCAAGGTGCGCGGGTGCTGGGGGAGCTGGGACAGGTTGGTGGGTCTTGGGGCTCATGACCTGTCTCCTTGCCCAGATCGTCAGTGACCACCGTGCGGAGTTTGCACGCTGCCTGGAGCCACTGCTGATGCCGCCTGGGCCGCGCAGGGCTGCGGGTGCTGGGGGTGGCACCAACACGTGAGCCACAAGGTTCCCATCAGGGTGGGACATCCCAGAGGCCAGGACAGGCTGAGTGCTGCCCTTCCCAGCTCGCTGAGCCAGTGTGCCTACGACACCAGGCAGGAGAGCCAGTATGCCATCTGGAAAGCAACTGTCAGGGGCGCCCAGATCCAAAGCGGAGCCTGGTCAGGGGAGGACCATGAGGACAGGGACTCTCCCCAACTGCTGCTGCAGCCTGGCTCCCCAGGCTGGGATGCCTAGAATGGAAGGGGCAGCTTGGGGTGGGACCTGACTACCCCTGAGCCTGAGACCTGGAAGGAGTTAGGAGAAGTGCATGTGCCAAGGGCCCCAGGGCCCAGTGTGTGTGAAGTCTCACAGCATTTACTTGGCCATCCATGACATCCTCCTTATAGACTCTTCTGCATATTGATTTCACCCTGGGGGCTTAAAAAAAACCGTACTGATGTCACTGGTCTTGGGTGCGGCCTTGCATCAGGCTTTTCTGGAGCTCCCATGGTGGTTCTGGGGTGCAGTCTGGGGTGAAAGGACTGAGAGGCACTGAGGCTGGGGTAGGGGAATGCCCTCCCATCCCCATATCCCATCTGCATCCACACTGGTTCTCTCCCCAGGTTAGCAGGGGTCTCAGGCCCCAAGGTGCTGGTGGTGCCCAGCTGCCCTTCCCCGGTAGGGAAGATGGGGTCACCAGTCCAAAAGCCCACGCAGCACCGGTCCATCAGCACCAAGGTGCTGTTGGCAGAGGGCGAGGACACACCCTTCATGGAGCACTGCCGCCACTATGAGGACTCCTACCGGGTGAGAGGACATGTGGGCTGGGAAAGGCCCCACCCCTTCCTCACCAAAGGCCCAGTGGCCAAATCTAGTCCTGGCCACCCTGGGAGCCAGCCCTCCCTTGAGGTCCAGCAGACACAGCCTGAAGGAACCCAGGCACTCACGAGGTCTCTCCCACAGTACCTGCAGGCAGAGATGCAGAGTCTGAAGGACCAGGTCCAGGAGTTGCACCGGGACCTTACCAAGCACCACTCGCTCATCAAGGCTGAGATCATGGGGGACATTCTTCACAAGTCCCTGCAGGTGGACACGCAGATCGCCGCAGAGTATGCTTCCGTGGAGGGGATGAGAGCCGTCTTCCAGGAGGTAGCCCCTTCCAAGGACCTAAATCCCTGCAGCGTACACATGGGCTACCCCAAGACAGGAAGGGGCAGGAGGAGGACATTAGCTGGTGGCCCAGGAGGCCTGGTATGGCAGGCTCTGGAACTGGGGTCTTTGCTGCCTGGAACCACATGAACTGCCTGGGGGTGCCTGTGGCTCTGAGTCACTAGAGGACAGAAATGCCAGCAACAGAAATTCCAACTCACACCACATGCAATGTCCAACTTACTTTCTCTTTCAGATGTGGGAGGAATCCTACCAGCGGGTGGCCAACGAGCAAGAGATTTATGAAGGTCCCAGGCAGCCACTGCTGGATGCACCCCTGTCCTGGAGCTAACCCATGTGCCAGTAGGGGCAAGAAGGCAGTTACCCACTAACCAGATACAAAAATCCCCATGCTCTTCCCCATCGCCCTTGACTTTGCCTCACAGCTGCTAACTGTGCAGCTGCATCTGAGGTCAGAATTCAGTGAGTAGAAAGCCCTCACAAGTCTTACCTCACTCTTTAATTAAAGAGGTAACTATGGAAATAGTTGGGATATTTTGATGGTGTGAGGCTGGAGAGTAAGAATCTAAAGCCAATACGACCCAACACTCTGGCCTTGGCCCCCACAGCCCAGCTCTATGACCTTCTGCAGCTGAAGCAGGAGAATGCCTATCTGACCACCGTCACCAAGCAGATCACACCCTACATCCGCTCAATTGCCAAGGTGAAGGAGCGACTGGAGCCCAGGTGAGACCAGGGGGTGTGCCCAGGAGAGCCAAGGCACTTTAGAATGTGTGTGGGAGAGGTGCCACACACTGGGAAGAGCCCCTTTCAGAAGTCAGTGGCCTGTCATGAGGGTTTATTCGGAGCATCTGGGCAGACCAGGTGCTCGACATGTGCAAAAACACAGAATGCATGGTCATTGTGAGCTTCTGCCTCTAGGCACACAATTGCCCACCTCTAGCCCTCAGGAGTAGATCAAAGCAGAAAAACCCTTCTTGGGATTATAATGAGGGTCCTCAGCTGATCCGGGCAGCAGGACATGGAGGAGAGGGCAGAAGTTCCTCTGTGCATGGTGAAGTCAAGTCTAGACAAGAACTTGCACCAGGGTCCCAGCACAGTACATAGGCAGGCTCTCGTGCTGAAGTTCAGTTTTTGTGCAGAGTGAGCTCCAGGACACGCAGTGGGCTGCTTCCCAGGATCTGCTTCCTCTGCACAGGTTCCAGGCGCCCGTGGATGAAGAGTCAGAGCAGCTACAAAACACGTGTGATGACAGCACGAGCGATGAGACCCAGGCCAGGTAAACAAGTCTTTCTACCCTGAGCCGGCAAATGGTTCATCTCAGAGACAGTGCGGACGACGGACAGGCCCGTTTTCTTTCCCCTTCAGTCACCTCTATGGCCTTAGTGAGGCCTCAATTTGTAAACTATGGGTCAGAGGGTTTGAAATCTGGACAGTGACTGCAAACAGTGACTCATAGATGACAGACATGACTTTGATAGACATGACCCACATTTTCTAACCATTGGTGCATGGTGGCTGCCCACACCCTGACACCACTGATTGCTGCCAGCGCTCAGACTGGCTCCTGGGCACTTACGCCACACAGCTTAAATTCACTCCAGTGAGAAAGAGTGACTGAGGATTATTCTGTGAGAGCACTGCTATTCATCAGAGAAACAGTGTTTGCCAAAACACTGCCAGAGGGAGAACAGAATGTGCAGTAACAGACACGTCACTGTCACAGCTGGGCTTTCAGTATTTCGCTCTCAGTGAAATGTGCTAGTCAGGGGGCAGAGAGCGGAGCCGTAGTCAGAGCTGCTAGAGCCCAGAGTCCACGGGCAGGTCTGCTGCTGCGGTGGTGACAAGGCATAAACACCGCCCCCCCACCCTCCCC